AAGTAGTTCGTGGTAGAAGATCAAGTCCAAGACCAAAAAAATCACCATCCTCATCACCAATCAATAATAATGATGTTGCTGTTCCATTATTGCCAGGAAAAAATATCCCTAACAGTAATTTTAGTGGTAATAAAAGATCAATAAAAGTGGTTTGTCAAATACTTCCATTCACAGAAGTATTAAAAAATGATTTAGAATATTCTATAAAGTTACTTTCATCGGTTATCTTACAAAACGAATCAGATATTCGTCTTCAACTTGATGCTCATATAAATATTCCAATTGACGAATTTGCCGAATCTAATACAACAACTTCTCAAAATATTTTAGCACATTATGATTCCACCACTTTATTGGGCAATCGTGACCTAATTAATAACCTAGTCGATTTATATTTTATCAATTTTCATCCGATGCTTCCAGTGTTACATAAGTCCTTCTTTTACGAAACATTTAACGATAAAAACAAATCGATTTCTCCTTTGTTGTTAAGTGCAATCTGTTCAATTGGCTCCAGGTATTCTAATAATGATGGATTCACAACTACAACAACAGCAAAAAAACAATCCGGCAAATTCAATACAATTGGTTTGGATTTTTACAAAAACGCTCAAAGTATTTATTTATTCTTTATAACCATCTAAAAAAATAAGTTTTAAAAAAATTTTAGCTAAAAGGATTTTTATATATCTATCTTTTTTTAAATAATAGATATGATAAATCAATATCTTGATGTTTCTAGACTTAGCACTGCAACTGCAATTTTTCTAATGGGAGCTTTTGATGCATCGCGTAATCTTCGAAGTAGGATTTATTTGGGAATGGCTACAACGTTTTCTATAACAATGAAATTGCATGATAAAAATGCGTTGGAAAATTTATCAAATAATAAAAAAGAAGCAAGAATGCGCGTATGTTTTATACATATTTATATTATTGATAAATTTACCAACCAACTAATTATTGTTTTGCTCTTTTTTTTTTTTTTAGTTATGGTGGTCAATTTCGTTGTTCAACCATTTACAAAGCTTAACGTTTAACAATACAATGTTGGGATTAGATGATAAGCATAGCTCAATTGAATATCCAAACCCCAGCATTGAGAACAATGAAAAAGAATCTAGGATTATTGAATACTTTGTTAATTATGTAAAAATTACAAAAATATTGTATGAAATTCTTGAATTTTCGTTAAGTGAGGAAAAAGATATTGGTAATAATAATAAAAGTGGTAGTAGCAACTACAATAACAACAACAATAGCAGCATCGTTGACCATAACAAAATTTTCTATTTGGATGAAAAATTAAAAGATTGGAAAAAAAATTTACCAAATTATTTACAGTTAAGAATTATCAAGCAACCTATCATGATCACCAAAGAAATAACAATAGAATATTTAGAAGTGTATTTATGCATTGTTTTCAATTACGCAATTATTAGATTACATCATACAAACATATATTCAACAGATAGTTTACAGAAATGTATGGATGCAGCTAATGAAATCATTGAATTGGTAAACAATAATAGAAATGTTATTTCCATGATGATGAACTGTGAACAGTTTATTAGTCATTGCATTTTTTATTCTGGATTAATTAATTTGTTCGTCACGAAAAAAAATAATGACGATCAGCAAGCAGCAATTGAAGCAAGAAATAATGTAAAGAAAGTGATGGAAATTTTTACAAGTTTTCTTGAAATTCCTTCTTTAAATTACCTTTATTCAAATATCATTATAACAATTTCATTATTTGCAACTCAAATCTCTGACACTCAAAAAATCAATGAAATAAAATTTTTTATTAATAATAACTATAATAACAACAACAGCAATAACAATAGTTTTGTTTATAATTATAATAATAGTAATAGTAATAATATTGACTCACAGCCACACCAACAAAAATCGATTGTAAAATTACAACAACAATATTCTAATTCTACAAATAGTAATTTACCTTGGATCCAACAACAACAACAACAATCGCCAACATCAACAATTGAAAATTCAAATGTTGCTAAATTAGAAACAATTGATAATAAGAATAAAAATAATAATAACAACAATAATAATGGTGGTAGTAGTAGTGTCACTAATAATAGTAATTTAATGCAAGGAATGAATTTTTCTACTAATTCCGCCTCCGCACAACATCAACAATCTCCACAAAATAATCCTAATCGACAACGTCAAAAATCTAGATCCTCAAGCAAAAACAACAACCTGTCATATCCAACCACTCCTAGTCCATCACAAAATTATACTCTATTTATTAATAATAATAATAATAATAATAATAATAATAATAATACCACCAGTGATAGTTGTACTGTTGTTGTTGTTGTTGTTATTATTATTATTATTATTATTATTACTGGT